CCCATGTCAATTTCTATATATCTACACTCATTTCCTATCTGCTATATTTATGACACATGCTCTGTATATAACCTCCCCTAGTAGTGTCCTACTCCTAGGAGTAGGCACAAATAATACCGAATCAAATTTTTCAGGTAATATATTTAATTTTGATGCAAAAATATGTGAAACAAATGAATGCAAGGCACCAGTATCAATCAAAACATGTGCAAGATGGTTACATATAGTGTACATACCCTGTACCACGTCAGGGTTGGCTTCTGTATCTTGCTGAGTGAGGTTGTAGGCTTTGCCCTAGATCTGACCTGGTTCTGGTTCCTCGGGCACTCCTTTACATAATGTTGGACAGTACCACATATATAGTAGGTGTTGTTGAGACAATAGTAAGGTCGGTCTCCATGATCCCTGCCACAGTGTTGGCAAGTCTTGCTACGTCCTGTTGTTGGAATCTGAGGAGGAGTCTGAGTCATTGATCTAGGTCTCTTATTTCGCTGAACAGGTGCAGTAGGTGCTGGACTGCAGTGTGAAATCGGAGGCCTGAAGTTCCCTACTGCTTGAGTTAAAATGCGAAGGTTCCTCTACACTAGCTGTGCTTTAGCCAGGATGGCCGAGTAAGTACTGAGCTCGGATACATATAGCTGGTGTCTGATCTTAGGACGGAGGCCCCACTGGAACCTTCTTGCCTTTTTGCCTTCATCAATCATGCTCTCAGGAGAATGCCGACCCAACATTAGGAACTTTTGGGCATATTCTGATACAGTTATGTCACCCTAAACTAGGTGTGCAAACTCCATTTCTTTCAGATGTTAGAGATGCTCTTGGAGGTACTCTGCATTAAAGGTCGCCAAAAATTGTTCCCAAGTAACTGGAACGGGTAGGGTGGCCTGCTTGAGTTGCCACCAGCGGCCTGCCTCTCCCACCAATATGTAGGTGGCAAGTATGACTCGCTGTTCGGGAATCACTTCAAAAGTCATGAAGGCCTTCCCTATCTCAGCTAACAAGTAGTCGACCTCTTTAAATAAGGATCCCCCTGCAAAAGCAGATGAGTTTAACCTTTTATACCTCTCAATATAATCTGGCCCCATCATGGGAGGAACTGGATCCCATGGAAGAGGGACTGGATTGTGCTGAGGATGGACCGGATGGCCTTATGGTGGTACTGAATGATACGGTGGAGGCACTGGATTGTACTGTGGTGGTGCCGGGTGATGTGGTTGAAGACCGAGCTATACTGTGATGGTGTCGGGTGGTACTGTGGTTAGGGCACCGGATCATATTATAGTGGTGCCATATGGTACTGTGGAGGAGTAGGGTCGTACCGAGGGAGCTCAGGATCTTTCCGCTGCAAGGGTGGCTCAATTTGTGGCAGTGGGGGAGGGTCAGGTAGCTCCCTCCTTTGTTCCTAGGTTTGCTGAGCAGCAATGAGTCTCTCCATCATTTCAAACAATCGATCAACATCCTCTCGAAGTGAACCCTCTCGTGCTACTCGG